TATTATTTATTATTCTTACGGCATTATATTATTTATTAATCATGAGAGTTTCCTCGCATACCGATGTTTATAATGACAAAGTCGAAGAATTCTATGTAATTATAATATTTACTCACGTGCATAATTGTTGTATAATTATCGAGACATGCATATAAAAATAAACGCATAAATATGTGCGTAGAAAAATAAATGTGAAAAATTTACGTGAAATTAACTGAGGCAGACGCGATCAGGAGTTGGCCTCATTTTTTTTAACAGGAAATAAAAGTACGATGGCAGTTGTATAAATTTTCTATGTAGTTCGGCTTATCTTATTCATGATGCAAAGAACAATTTGCATTACCAAGTGGCTATGAGTTTTCTTTACGATACGATATCGGATGTGTCATTTATCTATACACCTTCTCTACATTGTTACTTGCTTTTCTTCGAATATTTGAACAACATTGATCCTAAGTGTGTGGAAAAACTAGAATATTTTAAATGTCAAAAATAATATTCAACACTACAATTAAAAACAAAGCGATAAATATATATTATACATGTATTTTTTTCAATATAAGTTTGTATTTACTCATTAAATATATAAAATTATGTTTTTAAAAAGTAAAATTCGCGAAACTGCGCAATACACATTTTTAATAGATAAAAAAGGAATAAATTTTACAAAATTCCTACCACAAATTTCCTTGCTCGTCATTCGAATTTCCCGACACTAACAAAGTGTGTGAGGCACACGCAAGAAAAGAAATGTCTGACTGTGCGGCTGTATATTTTCTACGCGAGATAGTCGCGAGGATCCAAGAGATGGAGGAGGAAATAAAGAAGGGCGATGCGGAAAGGACGAAGAGGAGAACGCGAGGCAGAAGCCTGTTTGGAACATCCCGACGGCGCGGCGGCGGTCCAAGATGGCGTCCACGCTCGGTGGTTTCCCGTTTTCTCTTATTCTCTGTCTTCTTCTCTCGGCTTAATTCCCGATACTGTCAGCCGACCCTTACCATCTTGCCCTTTTTTGGTGCGCGTTACGCCCATGGAATACGTAACGCGACGCATGATATACGCACGTAGAATGCATCTGGAGCGCGCCATGCCCGATTCTACGTTTGCTTTCGCTTATACGCGTAAGTGAGTGCGTGAGTACTTGAGTGCGTGCGTGAGTGCGTGCACATAACGGTATCGGGCACCACCAAAAGACACGGCCACCCCTCAGTCACGGATTAGCATATCAATCCCCTCGTTATACGACCCTGTCGATCTCTCGTTCGCGTTCTCATTCCCTCTTTCTCCCGTTCGATCTGCGCCATTAACGTTTCGCACGAGTACATAGCCATTGTTACCTTCAATCGCGGCTGTACTTGATATCTCGGACTATAAGTAGTTATAGATTTTAAGTTTGTAGTCCTATTTGACACGCGAATTTTAACCAATTGGAAATTTTAATTTAGCTCGGACTGTCGCATCTGTCTCTCTCTTCGACGCAACGTTCAATGCTAATTCCAATTTATAAACAAGTGAAGATTATGTTTTATTTAAGGGAGTAGAAAACGACTCTATAGCGACGTTAACGAGAGATTAATGTAATCCTTATGTCCGACGATAATAAATATCAATACCACTAATAAATATCGTCGACGTATTGCATTAATCTATTGCGCCTAGTATTATATGACTGCTGTATTATACTACTACCACATTAATGTTGAAATACGATATTAGCTGACATATACGTTAATGAATAATGGAGTTTTTGCGCATAAACCTTGCGGACAAGATCATCAATATAATGATGATCTCTTTCCGTTTTTTTTTTATCTCATTGGAATAATCACATGTATCATACATACAGAATATTTTAAACAAATGTTAAAATATTAAACGATAGACGTAGGTTATCAAATATTTTTAATAGCAAAGCATGTTTGGTTAGCAGGATTAGGAAGTAACGCGTTATTTGTAACGCCGTTATCATTTTCGTTGCTTTTTCCTATTTGTTACTGTAATGTTGTTACAATAACGGTAACGAATTTAGCTGTTATTTTTATCTCTTAATTATCTTTATAACTATATTCAATAGATTGTTTTCTTTATATACAGGGTGTCCCGAAAGTTTTTGCCAATCGCTTTTGTGTAGATAGAGCGGACTAAACTGAGTCGAAAAGTTCTCTACCATTTTACAATTTTCGCAATAGTTATTAGCAATAAGATATTAATTATTAAAAATTGTAAAATATTAAAAATAGTAAAAAATTATTCAAGACCAATATTTGACAATTTTTAGTAATTAATATCTTGTTATTGCGAAAATTGCAAAATGGAGGACTTTTCAACTCAGTTTAGTCCTCTATCTACACAAAAGCAATTGGTAAAAATTTCGGGACACCTTGTATATGTATATAATTGGCCGGAAATAATTTATAGTACAAACTTAAATATTAAAAGAATTCTTTTGTACTTCATATCTTAAGCTATTGCGATAGTCACTGCACACAATAGTGAAAATCTGTATGTACGTATATGTAAGGTAAATTAGAAGTTTTCAGTATTGACAATGAATATTAAAGCTATTAATAACAATATTAATGTTTAAAATCAATGTTTTAAAAAATTTTTTAAAATAAAATCTGCATATGTAAATTACAATTTAATTTTCTAAAGATAAACATATATTAAAAAATAAAAATATTAATACAAATAATAATGAAAGATTAAATAACTTTAATATAAAGAACAGCTTGCTATATAGAGATTAGAATTTTAAGTTTTAGTATACAAAAAATAACAAATCGTTATCTTCTAAATTAAGAAATGATAACATTATATTTTAAAATCAGTAAAAAGTAACAACGTTATTTTTACAAAGATCCAACCTATTGGATGGGCATCATATGGCATTACGTGATACATTAAACTAAACAATTAAAAATATTATTATTGGATTATTCATTTTTTATTCTTTTTTAACTGACTAGTAAATATTTAAACTCTAAACAAATGTTTAGAGTCACCATTATTTCAATACAAAACATCGTTGTGGCAAGTATTGCTGTATTTAAAAAGAATCCTTTTTGTCATGGATTATTACTGTATGTGTCATAGAATTTCAGGATATAATCACACATAGCGATGATCCATAAGAAAGTTCCTTTTTTGTTTGATAGATGATTCATATATATAATCTCTAAATGACCATAAATAACCTTAACGAATCCAAACCAAATGAACAAAGAGATTAGAAAACCTATGAACATATTCCAAGACAACAATAGAATCTTTAATGACTTCTAGTCTCATAACGATGCTTGTAGTGCATATAATGTTTTGTATAATGTTTTTAATAAAAACATTTATATTGTGATATATTATGTAGCATAGACTTTCAAGGAATGTCCTAAAGATGTCCATAGATATTCTTAGCACGTCTCTCAGAAAGAGTATGCTATGCAGGGCATCTACCGTCGCATTTTAACATTTGATCTGAAACGCTCTGTAAGTACAAAGTATTTCGTAAAGATCATTATAATGCGTGAGAGCAGAATTTTGAGATTATTTTGAGATGAAAATTCTCTACTAAAACGTCAAGATTATTACCTGTATTCACTCAATTCTTATATTTAAGACTATCTTAAGTACAATCTTAAGGTGCCACGAACCAATCAGAGGGCTATTAGTATCTTAAGACATTACTTAAGACGGTCTTGAAATAAGAGGGGACTATGAATATCAATCTATAATCATTTTTTAGTTGATTATCGCTCTTCTTTGTCAATATCATTAACATAAAGATTATTTAAAAATATTGATATTGTTTTTACTGATATAAAACGCATTGCATAATAACATTTTATATGTAATATTGTTATATCGATATACTGACAAGAGAGATAATAGTTTTCGTCATTCACTATGCCATTTTACTTTAATACTTGTTAGATTTTAGACAATAATTCATTAATTTTATAAGTGCTTATAATTAATTCAAAAAGTGTTAGTCTTTTGATATTAAAGAATTTTCAAAATCAAATCTTAAAATAATCTCAAGAATCTGCCTTTAAGCGTTATTACAATTGTTACGAGACACTCTGTATATGTATATAATTAATCTTATTTATGTCCGTTTCTACCAATGTAGATAAACTTTAATCTCAGTTCAACTTATTTTTTTATTTTTTTCTAATTGTTAGAAGTAGAAAAAGATGAAGAATAAGATTGAATCGAAATTAAAATTAAATTACATAATATATCTTTTTATACATATATAAAAGAAAATTAATTAATATACATATGTATTTACATTAATATGTAATATGTATTAACTATATGTAAATATATATACATATAAAATTAATACATATAATAAAAAATAAATACATTTTTTGTCTTGCGTGTCTATAAAGTGTCAGGAGTATTACATTACAATGATAATATCTTTTTTATAAATCAAGACTGTATCACGCTCGAGCAAAGTGCAAATGAAACGATTATTACTGACTACGAAACAAGCAGAGAAAACAATGAGGATCGCCGCGTCACGCGAATGCATCTTCGAGCGAGACCGTGATTCTTCTCACGCCGCGATTCTTGTAAGAAATATCAATCTTGCTTAACGCGTCACGAGAATGCTAATGTCAAGTCGCCACTGACATTACTTTATTAATTCTGTATATCATTTGCATCGCGTACTACACTCGGAACCTAGAAAACGCTCGTGTATCAGATAATCTTAATGTAATTATCAATCTCAATCAAATGGTTGATTTTATTAATCACAATTCTAAATCTTATTAAATATTTAATGATGTTAACAAGATATTCGATATTACTTGGGGCATCATACTTTCTACATCATGCAAATGACAATAGTAATTATCATTATAATTGGCTCGTTAGAGACCACGATAGGAGCAACTCCGATTGAAGTATTTCTGAGTTTGATTGGAAAAATCATTTGATTCGATATTTATGTGATGAGATCAATATAAAATATTCTTTTTTGAGCTTACCTGAGTTTCGGTCAATGATAACGCTTGCGCCAACTGTTTTCTCTCTGCGCCGACAACGTAGTGATTTTTCTCGAAGGCGTGTTCCAGCTTAAGCAGTTGACTTGGACTGAACGCTGTCCTTATTCTCTTCGGCTTCCTGAAGGGTTGAAGTAAGAAGCCGGGTATGTCGGGACCTGAGACGAACAATTTTAATAAAATTTAAAATTTCAAAATTTCATTTTAGAAAATTTTAAACTTTGTTTCGAGTCATTTAGATCTAATCTAGGATTATTTTAACAAAACTCGGTTATAATAGTGATATCATTTTCGCTGAAAATTAAAAGAAAATGCAATAAAGAAAATAAAGAGAAAAAAAAAGAGAAGAGATTACCGCGAAGTTGATGAGATATCATTAAGAAGGAAGGTAAATGTTGAATCTAAATAATGAATCAGCGATATGAATCGCGCGATGTTGGTAAGAACACGTAATTCACCGACAAATTAAAATGGTAATTTAATTACTCGAGGAGCTGCTGGTATAAAGTTTCAGGCGGTTCGGACGGTTAGCATGAGTGAATAGGGGAACGGAGGTCGCGATTTATTAACGATTAATTAATTGTTAAACGCCAGAACGTCATCCGGCTAGTGTCCGTATATGCCTCGTAGAGGCCTTGCCTTGAAAATAAATAGTCGGCACGCAAGCCACGAATTCGTTCACGAACTGTATAAGGTCGTGCGTGCCAAATGGGAGAAAGAGAAACACCTACTCGTGGAGGCAAAGAGAAGGTATACAAAGTCAGGAACTCTGGACTAGGTAATTGAGTATTCTACCACGAAAGAGCCATGTCGATCAGCCGATAGCCACGTATGCCGGAAGTCACCCGAGATGCTTTAGCGGAAAGCTTGGGACGATAAATCGCCATGTCGCCCGCACAGTTTTCCTACGGCGCGTGACTATACTTCAGGACTGTTATATAGAGTGTTAATCCGATTCCCAGCAATCGATTTTTAAAATAGTTAAAGAGATATCGCAAGGATCGAACTACTAGAAATCGAAAGTTTAACGAGGGGTGTTTGCGCACTCAGAGAAAAAAGTCATGGTGGCAACTATACAAGTTTTATATGTGGCATTAATGTATATAGTTAAATAGATTATTTTATACTTGCAATAGTGAAAATTTTTATATTTTTGCGTGAATTTCGTTGTGAATATAACATCTCAAAAACCTGATTCTTCGATCAAAGAACAATTTCGTGTAGACTTTATCATTTTCACATTTAAATTTTTTGCGAGAATCTTGTGAAACACGATAATGATACAGTGAAAAATTATGCACTGACGCTGTAATTCTACGTAATATAAAACTTGTATAGTTATCCTACATAAGTTACTAGCGGTATGTTTTTTCCTGAAGATATGTAGATTCAAAAAGAATTCGATATGTATATGATTACGCGATAATAATTTTATGCAAGATTCTTGTATAATTCGAAATAAACGTAACAAAGTTTCAAACTTCTTTCTATCCTGCCCCCTGACGATCTCCGACATCAATTAACATTTGCATGCACCTTCCGTGTTATTATTCATTGCGGTTTCTAAATTACAGCGTCAGCGCGCAAAGTGATCTAAATAAGTCACGCGCAGTAGGTTATGTAGCTAGTAACCGGTACAACGTACACGCGACCAGCCGCAACGGTGAATCGTATCATTTGCATTGCGAAAAATTTATCCGTTAGGATCTTCGCGGCTGAAACTGACAAGTTAATAGCTGGATAGAGCGGCGACTGCTATATCCTCTAGCCATCTGTACATTTCCCATATTTTTTTGCTGGCCAGTGGATTCTCAATTGCGGCATTAGAGCTGACAAAGTGATTGAGAAGTAGGTTAAATGCATCGACCGATAGTATTGCAATCGACCGAATAAATCACTACATTTAATGCTGTCGATACGTGAGTACCTGCGATTTTGGGTAATGAGTAGCTATCTTGATATCTGGATAGAGATTTATATCTAACAGAATTAATCCCATTTGCATCAGGAAAGAATTCGTCATACTTATAATCTTTGTAGATGATTTTATAGGCCTTGTCACTCCAAATAGCCTTTCATCACGATAGTAAATTACACTTTTCTCATTTCGAGAAATAAAAGATTCGCACGAAAAAGGATGATTAAATTCCAATTGAATATCTGTTATCTATCGTGTTTTTTTCTTGAATTGGTTGAACGGAAATGGGTATGAAATTTTTAAATAAAATTAATTAAGTGGCATGCCTCTTCAAACATTGGACTTTAAGTATATCATTGTTTTGCTCTACCATTTCTCGTTGTCACTCTTCAAAATCGCGAAACAAACGCTTTAATAAACACATCGCACACATGTACTGCTTAAATAGGACGCGTTTCTACATGCGAACGCATTCTTGCGAATCGCACAACGAAGGTTGATCCTTGATGGGATCAAAGCGCCTCGCGTGAGAATAGACGTGTTAATCAACGCTTTTCCGAGGTGGCGATAACGTAGTCGTTTCCACCTAATCCGTTAATTTGCATTATCCATGTAAATCCTAGCAAATGAATTTGAAGAAATGCTATATTGCAAATGCTTTACTTTGTCTTTTATTTACAGAGTAATGTTGATCTACAATATTTCTACAATATTTCTACAATGACTGTATTTAAAAATAAATTCATAAACTGTTATTATGCATTATTGTATATATTAATAGACATTATAATAGCAGCTTTGTTGATATCTCATGTGCAAATAATTCTGAATTCTTTTTCTCACTTTTTTTATGTCTTGTAGTTATGAAACTATTATTACTAATTACTACAATATTAATTATTATTAGTATATTGATTTTATATATTATAGATTACAGACATTATAGATTTTAAATAAAACAATAACAGTTAAAAGATGTTGAGAGTCAGAGCAGTAACAATTCACAATTCTTATAATAAAAACTTTTTAATAATTGGAAGACACACACACACACACACACACACACACATATATATATAATTATATATAATTATATATATATATATAATTGTCGCAGATGCTAATTAGACGTTTCGGCTCAATTTGAGTTATCTTCACAAACAAAATTGATTAATTATAATATTATTGTATTTACTATAAATTAAGATTGACATATCCATTCTCTTTGCTTCCCGAAGGCATTCAAGATTTTCCAGAATCCCAAATAATTACTACTCATTATTCTGAATACCTTTAGAAAATCCCCGGACGTTCAAGAAAACAAGATGTGAAAAAGAGAGCGTCTGGAGAAAAGAGGACAGATAGCAACCCTATCTATAATACAGATTTTATACATTAAAAATATAATAAAGATAATTTTTTTTAATACATTCTGATTGCAATTTGTTAATCTGACTCATTAAATCTAATAACTTGCAACATATAATGTATTTTTTTTCTATTATTTTTACACAACAGAGGGCGAGTTTAGATAAATGAAAATTATGTCGGGTTACACGAACGGGCGATTCTCTGCAGGTATACAGTGCTAATTACAGCGACGGAATAAAGGATCATTAGCGGCGCACCCGTGCGTGAAGCGATCGCTATTTATGTGGGTAATGAATAGTAATGCGATGACTCTTATACTGCGACTGTACTCGGTCGCGATTTTGAATGCACGACATATGTTGCATACCGCGACTATGGTCCGCAACTATGAGGTAACAATCGTGTTTTGCTAATAATTAATCAGCCAGCAGGACGGCTAAAATTACGCTTAACGACGCGAGAAAACTTTGCAAACAGCTCACAAACGTGATAAATAATTACACGCGCTTTTGTAACTCTCGATCAATAATGGGTAAACGGGAATTACTGAAAATTTATCGTCCAAGAAATTATTGTACCTATCTATACAGGAAACAACCGCCATATTTTAATGTAATTTAATTATACATATTATGTATGCGATTCAATTTCTAGTATTATTTTCGACTCTTAAGATTCTTAAACGAGCTAAAGTAGAAGATTACGATCGCTGGAAGGACCTTATAATATAATCCGAAATGCGATCTTCATGAAGGTGAGCGATGCGCGATCGATTCGCGATCCCTATCGATCTCATGGCGGGATCGCGAATAGGCGCTTCATCGTTAGCAGTTCCCTAGGAACTTCCTAGACATCGCTTGGAGCGACGCGCTTAACTCGTCCATTGCCGTGCAGTGAAGAAGCGGAGAAGAAAGAAGGAGAAGAAGAAGAAGAAGAAGAAGAAGAAGAGGAGGAGGAAACCACGAGGACAACACAGCGCAGTGCGGAGAAACGAAGAGCCGAGTCGGACGGCCTGTAATTACGGGAAGCTTGTGCTGCGGCTTTCGCAGCTGAGACGCCCAGAGCGACTCGAAATTACTCAAAAATAAGACCAAATGGTAAACGTATCAAATTATATCCCCTCCTCCCCCTATGCAACCTGCCAAGCTTCCCTCGGGTTCTCTCTCTTTCTCTCCTCTCACCTTCTCTTTGCCTTTCCTTCATTTCTCTCTGTCTTTCTTTCTCTATCTGTGGTATCGCATTTCGTCGGTAAAAACCGCTGCCGCACGCTCACCACATCGCACTAATGCGTTTTTAATTGTCGCTAAGCGTGCGACGAGATGCACGAAAGCAACGATGGATGGCGCACTGCGAAACAGGTGAAAATGCAAATAAGGGAAGGTGGATGCGCCGGCGTTTGGTGAGTTGGAGTTAATATATCCGGTGAGAAAACGAGCCTCGACTTCCGAAGGAGGCAAAACTCTTTCTTGGTTATTAAAAAACGGTACAAAGGCTGCGATATTAAATATTTGAAAAATGTACAGATACAAATTAAAATAGCGTCAAGGACTGCCAAATATCATCCTCATTGCGAAATCCTAAATCTCTCTTCCTTATCAGAAGTCAAAGGTCCATAAATCGCAGCGAAATTACGGCGTGATAGCACGACATTTTACTGATTGCCCGACTTTATTATTTCTCGCGACTACCGTAATTTCAGTGGCGACCATCGAACTCTTTTTTATACGAGGTAATTTCATCACGTATCTGAAATAATTAACCGTGACGCTATTAATTATTCGAAACCGATCTATTTAATTCCGTTTACCTTCGGATAATTTCAAACTGGCAACCGGCCGTAAATATAGCGAGTCGAGGATTGAGCGGGAT